TGAAATGTATAAGTGCTCCCAGAGTGACCAATGTTTGAAGGATCAACATCCATTTTTAATAGTCACCAATGCAATGTAAGAATCAGATAAGGCTCTATCGGTAAACAAGCAGGAAGAACAAATAAGAACTGCTGTTATTACTGAGCTGTTGAAAGGACAACAATACAGACACCAGGTGAACATTCCAGGGGAGAGACAGGCGCCCAGAACATACCTGGATTATGGCTTCATGGATCTGGTAGAAGAGGCAAGGGAGACAGTGTAGGTGGCTTTTCCTGGGCCAACCAACCAGCAGGAAGGGGTGTCTTGTATGTAAGGATCCAAGGCTTGGCATGTTTGGATATCTTTTTAAAAAAATTCCAAACCCCAGTACAAATAAACATGAACTATTTTTCTGGATGAAGCTCATCTAATTCCCTCCTATTGGTCTGGGCCACCTCCCAAGCAGTGTACTGGATAGCTCAGGGGTTCAAGTCTCTGGCTGTGGAGCCAGAGATTGGGAGTTGGATTCCCCCCTGTGGCTCCTTGACAGGGGCTGGACTCCATGATCCACTGGGTCCCGAGTCCACTGGGTCCCTTCCAGCTCTGAAGTTTTACGATAATGATGATTAGGGGGAGGATTTCTATGACATGTCATTTTCCCCCCTGCAGTTTAGGTTTGCACTTATAAGTGGACAGGTTTATAAGCCATCTGGTGAGATAGGCCAGATTACTCATTATAATGTTTAAATTTGCTTGTGGGTTCAAGTACAGATTGGGAAGGTGTGAAATGCCACAGAAATCTTCCTCATAATAATAATAACTATTATTATTATTATTATCCACTTATCTTCCACAAATGCAGTACTTGGGCACACATTCTCTTACAGGAACACACAAGGCTGTTTGCTACCAGGAGTTCCCTGTTCTTTAAGAACAGACCTGCTCTCTCCAACTCATCAGAGCCACAACGCAATGTCAACCTGCAATGTTTACCTCAATGGTAAAACAACGTACGCAAATCCCTCCTAGAATGAATTCCCATTCTCTGTTCCCTTCTGCAGTCAGGAAGCACCCATCATTCTCACCAGTTCGACCACTCTAATCACTAAATCTCTTGGTGATCACGAGCGATTGACTCATCGTTCTGGATCCCAATGGCATGGAGTTAAACAGAAGGGACCGACTTCAGTCTGAACTTACACAGCAGCTGGAGGCAGCTCTCGGGGGTGCTGAGTCTTGCCGTTACATCTCCCGTCGTTAGTGAGGGATATGGACAGCACAGCTCAGCAAGAAGGCCACTCACCTCGATCTGGAACATCTCAGCATCTTCGGGACCTAAAATAAGCAATGGCTTGTGATGATCCTTATAGGTCAGAACCGTTTTTTAAAAAAGGAGGAATGACATGAAAGTCAATTAGATTAAGAGAGAAAACACAGACAAGTGGGTTCGCTCTCCTCCCTTTCAGAAGTTCTCCAAATGGTCAAGCAAGACACACACTCGTATAACATAAGCTCCTTAAATCTAGTTCCTAATGCAGAATAACACAGACCTGCCTTACTACCCAAAAGGCATCTGATCCCATTTGGTTTTGAAACTAAGCAGGCCCAAACCTATTTACTATTTGGACGAGACACTAACAGAGATCTCGCAATGGTTCCCAACCTTGGCTAACTCAGGTGTACAGTACTTGGGCTGCAACTCCCAGAAATCTCAGCCAACACACCTATTAGTGAAGGCAGAGACACTAACAGAGATCTCGCAATGGTTCTCAACCTCAGGTGTACTTGGGCTGCAACTCCCAGAAATCACGGCCAACACACCTATTGGTGAAGGCGTCTGGGAGTTGCAGAACATCTGGGTTACCAGCAACATGAAGCAAAAATTATCCCTGAACCCATGCAGAACTGCTACTGGTAGTCTGAGCGGCCAAGACTGTGTTAGATTTATCAGTGGTCCGACTATGCATTTCGCAATTTCTTCTGTTCCTAACGGGACTTCGCCCTTTTCTACACAACAGCCTTTCAGGTATTTACAGCCGCACTGAATCATCCTCTCTTTCCCCGCTTCCTCCAATAGGCACGGAGGTGTTTGCTTACGCTAGCGCAACGTACACAGACACACCCGATCCCCAAAGACACACGGCATCTGCATGGTTCCTCCTCAGAGCTTACCTGCCACCTGTCCAAGCCGAAGTCCTGAAAGGGCGTTCCTCATGGTTCCTAACTCACTTCCTACCTGAGGAAGCTCTCCACTGTGAACGTGAATGTCCGAGTTTATTACAGGATGCTTCCACAGTCCCTCTCCCAGACCCTTACTCTTCTTGTTTGCTTTAAAGCACAGAAAAGCTTTGCTTTTCTCACCGAACTTGGTGTCACTTGACTCTGTCCCAGGTGCACCTGCTTGCTCCACTTTGAAGCGAGGCTGTGGTATATCGGCCGACCACAAATACCCTGTCTATCTAATTTCCTACTGAAATGTAACCGCATAACAGCTTGCGGACAAGTTACAGTACCCAAAGAGGGGGAACTGACTGCATACTTAGAGAACATACGCAACCCTATAGAATGCATACTGAATAACCCCCTTGACCTACTTGTCAGCCAATGGGGATTTTTCTGTATCTTTATTTCCTTGTGGTCAGAAGGCATAAAAGCTCTTTGTACTTTTAGGTCAATGTCCCTCGTGTTTGGGGGAGTCGAGTGGCCACTCGAAATAAGCAGCGCTTGTTCTCTCTCTCTCTCATTTAGGTCAATGTCCCTCGTGTCTGGGGGAGCTGAGTGGCCACTCAAAATAAGCGGCACTTGTTCTCTCTCGAGTCTGTGTAGGGTCAAATCTCACCTGCCTGACTGTATCCCAGATTTCTTATATTCAGCTCAAGTGTTTTAACACTCCCAGATTTCTTATATTCGGCTCTCACCACAATACCTGTTTCTCTTTTTACACCACCACCACCCTAACCCAAATCCTGCTGCCTACCTTGAGTTGGGTTCACGTCCTCTTCAAGAGGGCAAAGGGCTCGGAGCTCTGACACAAGCCACGAGCACAGCCCCGTGAACTGGGGGCTGGAGACGCCCTCCTCAGCCACTTGGGCAAAGGCCTCCACAGACAGGCACCTGGCAGAAAAAAAAAACCAAGCAAGGTAACAGGTGACCATCGGAGGTTCCACAACGCACCTCGTTGCCTTATTTATCACGCTGGATTTCATCAAAGCCACACCCTAGGGTGGAACCCCTGTATCTGCAAGGGATTGGTCCCAAGCCCCCCCTGGGCCCGCAGATGCTGAAACATGTGGATGATAGCAAATGCTATACATAGCGTGTTCTTTGGCTCCATCTAGGGGATCCATTCTGGCGACTTCCTTTCTAGAAATATATATTCTTAGGATTCTTCTTTCAATACTGTACTTTTAAGGTTTTCAGGCCGTGGATAAGTGAACCAGCGGATACCGATTCCGCAGATACGGGGGCCCTACTGGATCTAGCAGCCCATTCTATTCCGTGGTCTCATCGCCTGGAGGCATGTTTTCAAGGCACAGAGACCGTCCAAATAGGTGAAACCTGGGACTACAGCTCCCCGCCGGCAGGGGCTTCTGGGACTTGTAGTCCAACCTACCTGATAGCCCCCCCTCCCTTCCTATGCAAGGTAGGGAAAGCTACTTCTGGGACTTCAACTCCCAGGATTCCCTTCTCCCCGGCAGCCTGCCCACGGCCCTCGCTACATGAAAGGTAGTTGAAGAAAAGTAACTTTTCCAAGGGCCTCTCCCGCTTACCGCTCTGCTCCCGTTCCTTCCATCCCTCCCGCTCGCCTGCAGCGCAACAGCCCCGCACTTCCTGGTGGCACCCGCGCCTGCGCGCCTCTGGACCTCACGGCCGCTCCCATTGGCTCGCGCAAGGACCGCCTCCACACGGAGGAAGGGCTTTCTCATTCGCCGAACCTCAAAGCCAATGAAATTCTTTCCTCCCTCCCGAAGAAAGAGAAAAGATTTCCACCCACAGCTTCCTTCCCCGAGCTCGGCTTATTGGCTCTCTTTCATTGGCTCTCCTGCTGTCACGTGACCCCCCGAGGCCGGGCTTCGTCTCGCGGCGTTCTTGATTGGCTAAGAAAAGTGGGGGGGGGGAAATACACCCTCTCGTAGCAACCGAGAGCGTGCCCCGCCCCAGCCCCTTCCTGGGCCAATTAAAAGTTTCCCGTCTATATAAAAAAAAGCCTCTTCAGCCAATTAAAGGCCACGGTGCCGCAAACCCCTCCCTTTTCGCTATGGTAACCGTCCAGGCAGCGGTGGAGATCAACAAGCCCACCAGCCGCCCAATCAGAGCCTCGCCGGCAGAGCTTGGCTGGCAAGCGGGGGCGGCCCTTGGCGGGAGCTCCGTGGCGCTCCTTGGGTGCAAGGGACGAGCCGCTCTCGCAAGGGAGGCTGAGCTGAGGGCTCCTGAGCATGGGCAGAGTGCAAATCCCCCCGAGTTCAAAGTCTTCATACAAACCAGGATGCCAAGGGTAAAATGCTCCTGAGCATGGGCAGAGTGCAAATCCCCTCATCATCAGTTCAGTCTTCATCCAAACCAGGATGCCAAGGGTAAAATGTTCCTGAGCATGGGCAGAGTGCAAATCCCCTCATCAGTTCAAAGTCTTCATCCAAACCAAGATGCCAAGGGTAGAATGTTCCTGAGCATGGGCAGAGTGGAAATCCCCTCATCAGTTCAGTCTTCATCCAAACCAGGATGCCAAGGGTAAAATGTTCCTGAGCACGTGCAGAGAGCTTTGGGTCTGCTACAAATTTTGGCAAGTGAATTCAGCAGGTGCTGTACGACTGTGGGTGGGTTAATAGGATTAATAACCGCCTCCCCCCCTCAGTCTTCCGGATCTGTAACTTTTATTTGCAGGATTAAGGCAGAGAGCCTTACAGGCCTTGCACACCTCCAGCTGCCCAGGTTTCTCTTCCCCTTCGAGAACAAGAAGCAAACACACACTGCCAATTTGTTTCTATGTGCGTGTGATTTTTTTTTAATTTACAACATACATTTTAAATAATAGAGCATTCTTTTTTCCAGTGTCCTCTGAACCAGGCTCTTTAGAACCTTTTCAAAATACACAGAAATTACAATACTGAATATACAAATCTGATAAAATATTTGTAAGAGTAAAGAAGATCAGAGTGGCAACCATCGGAAAGAAAGGGGGAAAAAAGTGTGCCGTGTCCAGCTCCTTCCCACCTGCCCTCAGTTTGTCGTTAACCTCCCTTTTCTTGGAAATATAGAAAAAATGGAATGAAAACAGTCTCAGGCAACCATATATTAACACAGCATTGCATCTTTCCACCCCTTCCTGAGGTTTTTATACCGCCTTCCTGCTTGGCCATTAAGGATCCAAGTGCAAAGTGTCGTGTCCACCCTCCAGATGTTAAAACATCTGGACTTGTATGAGGCTTTCGAGACAAAGCAAAGGGACTTCCGGGAAGAGTCTTGGAAGAACAACTTCTTCGGATCCCTTCCTCAGCCTAGGTCGGAGGCATCCCAGATCTAAGGAGAGGCTCTCGCCTAGAGCCACTGAGGACTAGCACCAAGACGGCGCTGGCATCTGGAGTGGGATACAGACAGACCTGACCCATGGCACATCTGTAGGGGTGCAACTTTGCCTGCCTGGGAGCGCCTTCAAAGAACCTGGTGCCCCACAAGAGTACGTCGGCCCTGTGTCAATTTCAGGGAGGTATGAAGGTCATGGCAACGCCTGTGTTGGCACAAAGGAGGATTTTCAACCTGGGCCTCCTTGTCTATTGTTAAATGTTTGATTGTAAGCTCCTTGGGGCAGGACCCTGTCGTTTCTGGATTTCTTTGCCAAGCACCATGGCGATTTCTGCAGGGAGTCCGTGCCCACAGAGGAGGGGGGGAGTGGTTAATGGCCCCCCACCTATGTCTCACCTTTACCTGCTCTGGGTTATTAAAAGATTCTATACCTTGGTTCTGTTTTCATCCCAAACATGTGAGTGACTTGTAGGGCTTAAAAATACTGCTGTGAGCAGGGGGGGGGGCAGGAAACAGAGTTTTTGGATTTTTTTAAAAAGGCAGGAAACGGCTGCATTGATCTATAACAATAAATGAATATGGAAACTGAACCTTAGCATTTGCTTGGCAATTATTCTTATTGCCCAGGGTCTTTGGAGATTCAGGATGTGCTCTCTAACAGTGTTCTTCACGTAACCCCAAAGTGCTCTTAGGTTTCTGCCTCCTGTACTGAAAAGTGTGACATCTCCCTGCTTTACAATGACTTGGCATCCGTTTCTATCTTTCAGTCTGCTTACTATCCACGGGCGCACCTGGTGAGGAGTTAAGAGAGAAACCGGTCTCCATACCATTAACATACACATACCCCTTGGCGTGACTTAACAAAACTGATGCCACCGGTTTAAGTGAAAAGGATCCCATTTGACCGACACAGTGTGTTTTGGAGTGGACATGTGCCACCCGACCAGCAGACAGATGACACAGGGCATAAAAGGATCTGTCTTTTAGTTCCCTCTGCAAATCAGGAGCCTGTTTGAGTGGCTTGCCAAAGGATGGAAACTCCTCCAGATGTGCTCACATCCTTCATAACTATGGTTGTTTTGTGTGTGTGTGTGTGTGTGTGTGTGCGCTATATGCTGTGAAGTTGCATCTGATCTACAGCCACTTATGATTTTCAAGAAATGTGACAAATTTAAGGAGTGGCTTTACCACAGCTACACCCTCCCCTGCTAAGTCCCCATGGCCAAGCAGCGATTTGAACCCAGCCCTAGTTCATCATCCTATCCGGCTCTCAAGGCTTAAAATTCCAGCTCACACCCTTTTTTTGCCTTAGTTCATCAGTCAACAGGATGGCTCCAGAGGTAATCTACAGTAGATTGAACAGAACTCTTGATCCTGTAGTAACAAGCTCTCCATTCAGAAATCAAGTTTTTTTTAATGATAATCTGGATTAAACAGATGTGCAAATTTGGGGAATTCAATTAAAACAAATTTGTGGAAGTCAGACGTCTCCGTTAATCACAGATGGTGTGAAAACTGGGATATTCTGTCTAGTCACCTCACATGAGACTACCCCTATGTATTACAAAATAATAAAATTAAAAAAACACGCTGACCCTTTCCATTTATAAATTGGTATTCTAATATCTCTCACTATTTAAAAAAAGTTCTTGCCAGTCCTGTTTCTCCTGCTCTGTTCCAGTATTAAAACCTTATAAAAGGTGCTCACAGACAAATACATAGAAAAAGAAGGGATACAGTGGGTCAGGAATGGCAGTAAGGTGTACCCTGTAAACCGAACCCTGTCTGCATAAACGCTAAGGGAGCATGAGCAGATTCTGCATCAGACCATGTTTATCCAACGTTACTGGTCTACCATTAAGAAAAATCTCAAAAGCTTTACAATTTTCTCGATATAATTGTTATGAGTAATATGGCGAGCCAGAGCAGAGGCATACTGGGATATGCTTTTTGAAATCTAATCACCCCCCGTGGATGATCTTTCCCAATGGATCACAGCACCCAAACGAGGAGCATGTAAAACAGCAAATCCGCACATTTATCTCTTCTGCTTTCTTACAGCTTCACACATATGACAAGAGTCAGTGCGAAACCCCGGGGGGGATTTCTAAACTAGTCGGTAGGTGATGGCCTGTTTTTATTCTGAATAGGTGAGAATTAAAGCAAAGGATGCGTATTTTCTTCCCTGTTCAGAGAGTCTGACTCATTTTTCATACCTTCTATTTAGCAAGCTCCGCCTCCAAGCCCATTCCTTGTCAATTCTCTCTCTGAGTTCCCATGGTGAAAATATAAAAAGTGCAGAAGGAAGATCTTCTAAGTAATAATAACCACAGGTCCAGTTGAAAAAAAAACCCAGCAACTTAAGACTTTCAGAACCCCCTACCACTAGCAAAGGGGGGGGGGATCTCTACCAGCACTCATAATCCTCAGTTTCGGTATTTCCAGTTGTTGGGAACGGGTCTACAATAGGCCCAGTGGGAAATATAGACCCTTATGCCTAGATTTTAGGATGCTGGAACACTCATCATCCTCAGTTTTGGTATTTCCAGTTGTTGGGAATGAGTCTACAATAGGCCCAGGGGGAAATACAGACCCTTATGCCTAGATTTTAGGATGCCGGGGTGCTTAAAATCTTTTAAAAATCCTAACCTCCCTTATCCAGTTTTGCACCAAAAATTGTACCTTCGGCAGCACTGTGAATGCATTATGCAAACTGAAACAATTTGCATATCATGGATCATTTTGCAGAACTCCTACCTTTTCTAAAGGCTGGCTTATTCTAGAAATCTTTATATTTTTTTGCTTTTGGAAAGGGTCGAGAGAATGGAAGGACGAGAGGCCATGGAAAGGAACCATCAGGAGGGGGCTCCCAAGAGGCAGCTACCTCATCTCACTAGAAAACCTTAAAGGGCTTTCTCCTGGCAGTTCCTGTTTCATGCAGCTAGTCCACATGGGTTTACAAGGCCCAGAGCTCCAGATGGGAAATTTAGAAAGGGGGAGATGTGTGTGAATGACAATCGTCCGTGGGTAGAGATGAGAAAGGGCAACAATACGACACACAGTAAAACAAAGGACCTCTCTGCCCTTGTTAAGTCATCCGTGCTAGCTCTCCCTGCGCTTTGACTGGGACCCTCTGAAGATATTGGTACCCTTGGGAAAACCTGCAGCCCCCCCTCCCCAAAATATCCTAAAGCTTCTGCAGATGAGCAAGATTTATTGGTCCACTGCTTTCACGGGCCTGCAGCCCCCTTGGGCCAGATGCAGCTGACAAAATGCTTCTGCCCCAGCAAAACCTGTCAGCCTTCAGAGTGACACAAGACTCCTCGCTGGTTTTGCCGCAGAAAACGGGCATGGCTACGCTCTGGATTAGGCTTTCTTGCGTTTTATCTAGGGCTCTCACTCCCCTTTCTGGACCGATCCAGAAACAGCAAGGTGGACTCTTTTTTGCCCCGGCTGGAGGATGGACTCACACAACTGCCTCCAGCTGGAAGCAGAGAGTCAGCGTACAGAGTCCACACGGTCCTGCAGGAGACTGGATCTCACTGGAATGTGTGTTCCGCAGACAAGCCCAAACAGATTTCCAAGGCAGAAAAGCAGAAAAAACTTCTGGCGGAAGCAACAGCCGCTAGTGACCTTGTGAAAAAGTCACCAAGGGCGACCTTCTAAGTTGAATCAGGGACAGGTAAGATCTGGCCTCCCGATGTGGCTGGACGACAGCTCCCATCATCCATCACCGCTGGCTGAGCTGGCTCAGGCTGATGGGAGTTATAGTCCAGCCACATCCCGAGGAGCATGGCTCACCAATCAGTTTTTTCATGGCGCTCCCCTTCATGGACAGGGAGAGCTAAACACTTAGCCAGTGTATTCTGGGGACCCCACAATGCAGAGGTGCAACAATTGGGCTGCATCCATGCTGGTGGAACCCCACGTTATGCAGGCTTGCCTAAACCTTAAACCCCAATTTGGTGGGTTTTATTTTTTTGTTTACGAACAGGGGCCGATTGGGTGGATCAAAGAGGTATTACAGTATTGGCACACTGAAATGGGGAGTTGCTATGGAATGTATTAGCCTCCCTACCGTGCTCTGCCTCGTCTCTTTCATTCTCCCGAATAATTTTTCCCTTTCCTTTTGTTAAGAAAAATAAATAAAGTGAGGAAAACGGAGAGAGGGGTCCTCCCTGGAATGCCCTCCAATTGCTGGGCCTGCTTTTACAAATGGCAAAGTGCCTCTCGTCGCTCTTCGGCTTACCGTTTCTTGACAAAAAGGGACCCCCCGAGATTTGGAAACGGGGAAAATGAAAAACAGGGATTCCACCTGCCAGCCTCACAGGTCTCTTCCTAGAACTGGGACAAGGAAGAGAGGGGGAGAGAAATGGGAATGGGGTTTGGCGGATGGTGGGAGGTCCGGACCCTTCTCAAGCCTTCAGCTCTGTGGAAAACCGCTGGCCCTTGCTTGTGGCTAAAAATGGAGCTCCCCCATGTCGGATCTCCGGCCGCCTTCACCGGACCGCCTTGTGCTTGCCGCCGCAGCAGCCACAGTGCTCGCCACACGAATGGCAGGCGTGGAGGGGCAGGTAACAGCACATGCAGGGGACGACGAGAGAGAGGGTGATCAGGGCCATCCAGCGAACACAGAAATGGGGGTGGCCGGTGTCGCAGGAGCACGGGTCCGAATACTCGCCTTCCGAGTCCGACATGCAGTGGTAGAGCATGCTCTCCGCGCACCACATGCAGGTGAACTGGTAGACGCAGCGCCCGATGGGGTCCGGCGCGTCTTGGCACTGTCCGCGCCCGTTCTCCTCGTGGCTAAAGACGTCCCGGCAGTAGACGCACCGAGAAGGCACGGCGTCCTCTTCCACCCCGGGGGCGCCGGGCGGGGGCTGCTGCTGGTGCTCCTTCGGGATCTTGTGCTTGGGGGGCGAGGGGGCCCCGTGGATGCAGCAAGAAGGAGAGGCCTTGGGGTCCTTGAGCCGCCCTTCGGCCCCGGGCGGGAAGCCGTGTTCCTTCTCCCGCGGGGATTTGCTGCCGCCGCCTCTGCCGGCGCCGCTGCCCTTCTTAAAGTGCACGCACACGTCCGTCGTCTTGTCCAGGTCGGGCTGGTGCTTCTGCACCACGGCCCTGCGATAGTCCTCGTAGCCTTTGGTGACCCAAAGGTCTCGGCAAGGAGAGATGCTCTCTAGCTCTTCTTCGTCCGGAAGGCTCAGCTGTTGCAAAGGCTGGGGCTGGACCTGCCGTGCGGGAAGAGAAGGACTTGAACTCAGACCTCCGCAACAGAAGATCAGCTGTTCAACCACTTGGGGGGGAAAACCCACAACCCTATAGGGTGCCATTGCTTGGGTCAAAAGCCATTGCTTCTATTTAGGGAGTGCTGGAATCAGTAATTTGGTGAAGAGGTACAGGATTCACAGCCGGAAAACACTCCGCACCCGGGATTCTTTGGAGGGGGGAGTCATGCCAGTTCAAAATGGAAAACACCAACTGTGTGCCATATAACGTGGTTTCCCTTTATAATAAATAATGATCACGTGCCACGAGGCCAACTCTGACCTTTTCAGGGTTTTCCAGGTAGAGAATACACTGAAGTGGTTTCCCCTTTCCCTTCCTCTAGGGGGAGCCCTGGGACGGTGTGCAGCTGGCCCAAGGCCACCCAGGCTGGCTGTTCTCACTGTCGGCACAGCGGGGAATCAAACTCCCAACTTCTGGCTCCTCAGCCAGAGACCTAAACCACTGACCTATCCAACTAACTTATAGACAAATGCCCTATGATGATCCCCATTGCCCGCTGTGTCACCCCCCCCCAAAAAAACCCCTTTGGTGGATTTCTCAAAACTGCCTTGTACGCATTTATTCTTGACGGGCTTAACAGTGCATTCAGACGGTAAGGAAGGGTCTAATCTCGTGCCACCGGAAAGGGTCGCTTTGCTGAAAAGGACCTCCATGAAATCAACCATGCAAGGATCACTCTAGGCTGGCCGAAAGAGAGAGCAGGCCTGACACGGGACCAAAAGGGGTCCCGATAAGGGCTGGTTCGTGATCTTGGTTGTGTCATGGGATTGCTAGGAAATGGCTTGCACTGGGCCGTGCCTCAGAAAGTTCAAAATGCAAGCTATTTCTCCAGCTGGCCACAACCATGCTTAGATACCCTCTTCAAAATATATTTTAAAAAAACCTAGCTTGAAATTCCGAAGCACTGGTACAGGTGGCTTCCCAAAGAAGCAAAGGGTGCATTAAAACACATGAACATAAATAACCCAGAAGCCACCGAAATGGCCGACCAACCCAACCCAACCCAACCCACCGAAGAGACACGTACTGGCCCAGTTGAGCCCAGCCCCTGCGGTGTGCTGAAGGAGAATTCTTCCGAGAGGGGTGAACGGATGTAGCAGCTGGATGAGGATTCATTGGTTACGATCGTGATGGGTTTGGGGAGCATTTCCTTCCGGCTGTTTGACGAGGATTCGCTGTCTGTGTATACCTGGGTGGGGGGGAAAGAGAGAGAGAAAAGACAGTGTTGAAGAGAGGTAAGGCACAGAGAATATTCTTTGTCCGCACCTCGCTCAGGTTTGGGCCCGGCAAAGTAAAAGAACAGCGGAAAGTTCACATGCACCACAGTGATGATTCGGATTAGAGGTCAAATACGGATGTGCCATTCAGAGTTTTTTGGACTTCAGCTCCCAGAATTCTCCATTCTGGGAGTTCCGCCGGAGAGACCCACACTTACAGACCCCCTCAATGTGGCTCGCCTGCAGGAAGGCCTAACTGGAAGTCTTCGCGGCCTAGCTTCCTGCTAAAAAAAGGAAGCTAGGCCAAGCAGTTAGGTCACAGAGCTTTTGAGCTAGGCCTTTCTCCAGGCGAGCCACATTCAGATGTTTATAAGTGTAGGTCTGTCGGGTGGAAGTCCCAGAATGGAGAAGTCTGGGGGATGAAGTCCAAAAACTCTGAATGGCACCTCCCTAGCATATTTCTGATGTCTGAAATTTAGTTGTGCCTTAGTCCCACCAGCATAAAAAAAAAAGCAGCACCGAATTTGCACCCTTTAGCTATTTAGTGACGCCATTCAGTCCCTGAATACAAGAAGTGTCGCCTTTGGAGAAAGGCAAGGATTTATGTAAGGATCCATGACCCGTTGCCCCATGGCTACTGGGTACCAGATCCAGCCTTCCCATCTCCGGATCCTGGCTTCGGAAGTTTTGAGAGACATCGGACACAAATTTCCAAACAAACCTACGATTAATCTAGCAAAGCAACATATCTTAGCTCTGCTTGAAAGCCTCAGTCAACTGTCATACAACCCAGCTTGTTGTTTAAAAACAGAAAATGAAATTCTGTCCTTCTTCAGAGCTTGGAAATGTCACTCTTCCAGACAACAACTCCCAAGTTTTTAGAGCTGCTCCCTGCCAGCCGAGATTCGGGAAAAGAAACTTACCGCTAAAGCTTCGTCTTTCCCGTCAGCTTCGTCCTGAGAAGAAGAGGAGGTGGAGGAAGGCGAGAGGGAACCTGAGGGAAATCCACAGGGAAATAAAATTCCATTATCAATGAAACCACAGGACAAGAGGAAACCTTCTACCAGAACTGGGTGTTAAATCAGCAGGTGCTACAGGAGAAATTTCCAATAAATGGCAGGCCCCGGCTAGTCTATAATACAAATATGAATAACTAATAATTTTAATAATCATTAGTTAGCATCTATGAAGTTCTTTGTACCCTGAATAATGCTACATCTTATATGTAATAATTATCTCAATAATCCTCACAAGAGGGCCTTCAGGAGAACCCTAACGTTAAAAAAAATCAATATTTAATACTCTTTAATTTTTTTAATATGGAAAGTTAGGGCGGGAAATGTTACACTTTTTGCTTTGTTGGTATGAAGATTATTGCATCCCTCTACGGCAGTGGTTCCTAGCCTTGGGGGACCCAGGTGTTCTTGGACTGCAATTCCCAGAAACCTTCACCACCAGCTGGGGTTTCTGGGAACTGTAGTCTGAAAAAACACCTGGGAACCCCTGCTCCATGGCATACAACACTGTGACAAAATAATGTTTTCCTCTTGATTGACAGAGTTTTTTTTTTACTTCTTTCTAATCCCGGTCTTTCGCATTTTGACGAAAATTGCTGAGGTTTAAAGGGGCAAAAGGTACCGTAGGTGTTGATCAAAAGGAGGCATGGCGTTAAAAAGAGCAAGAAACCATCGTTGTTTTATCAGGCAGCTGGGTACAATGATAAGCCCCAGGTCGTGGATGCAGGAGGAGGGATAAAGTCGAGAGAATGCAGGCTACCCTTTCGCGGAGAGGAGGTTTGCTATGAAGATTTCCCAACTCCCAATCTGCTTCCCTTAACCACTGCTCTCTACTACCACATGTTCACACTGCTTGAGATCTGCAGTATGAATAGCTCTGGGTATGCGAATAAGGTCTTTGCATAATTTCCATGCACCGCGTAGGCCAGGACAACACAAGGTGTTAAAATAATACATCTCTTTAAGATTTGCTAGGATGCCAGCCCTGTTATGTCCCAGCTCTGTTAGGGCCCTTGCACATCATCCCTGCGGCTACCACGACCCACCCGCACCCGGCCCTCTGCCCAGCTTCCTCACCTTCGGCGATTTCCTCCAGAGCTGCTTGCACACCTCGCTCGAAGGCCACGGCATCGGCGGGGCTCTGGAAGGTGAGGCCAAACTTGTTGTCCCCCACTTTCCAGTGGTGGAAAATGGGGTTCACTTTGTTATAGACCAGGTCCCTCTTCAGCGTGCATTCCAAGATGGTCTGTGGGAGGGAGGGAGAGAAAGAGGTCACGGAGGAGGTAGCCGGAAGGCCATGATGTGGGGCAAAAGGTGCTCCTCTCGAGTAAGCCGTGCCTCGAAAACGGGAGTGTCAGTTCAGTGGTCCCCCCAGAGGTGCATGGACTACGACTCCCAGAAATCCTGGTCAGCCCAGCCGGTGGCGAAGGCTTTCTGGGAGTTGTAGTCCAAGAACACCCAAGGTGGGGAATAGTTGCTTTTGGGGGGTTTTTTGGGGGGGTCTGCAGCAATGGCAAAGCCTCCACCAGCATATCCACCAATTGGGTGCCCAGAGGTCGGGAAGCACTGTTCCTCTGCCTGCGGTCCAGGGGTTGCCTAGCAACCGCCGTCCTGCTTCTTCCCTTGCACGGACCATGAGTCCCGGGAGGGTGGTCGATGGGGGATTGTGGGACGTGTGTTATAAAAAAACTAACTTTTCCAAGCTTTTGCATCTTACAACCGGTCCACCTGCCAAACATGTGAAGGTGTGTCGTCTCCTGTCATTTTCTCTCTCCCCCACCCCAAAAAAAATCTCACCGTCTGGTCCCGGAGGCGCTCCCCGCTGATCAGGTACTGGCGCCGCTGCCCTTCTTCAGGACGTCGGACTTTACAGATCATCACGTGGCTCAGGCCGCCGCCGCCCATGGGCACCCAACCCCCGCTCGAGTCGTCTCGGGTCATCACCACAGCCCGCACCCGAACCATGTAACTGGGGGGGGGGAGACGTTGGGGGACAGACACAGAAGAGAAAAGAGAGAATCAACAGCCGTTGACCTGGATGGAGAACCTCATAAGTATCAGATGTATTTGGCTTCAAACCCCTTTGAAAAGCATCCCGCCCCAGAGGCCTCCTGAAGCACCGGACTACCATGTCCATCATCCCCATTGGGCATTCAAGTGCAACGCATCCTGGCTCCAGGTTTGCTGTGCCATACGAGACTTCTAAAAAATATATGTTTTTGGCTGGCACCGAAGGATTCTTCAAGGCCTCCTTAAATGGTCACGCCGTCCGACCGTGCGACCCCCAATGGGAATGTCGGCGCAGGGGCATCCGACGCCTTTCGTTAAAAACCCGGGGCCCACTTTCTGTGCTTTCTCCCCCTTTGAAGATGACACTCTGGATGTTTTTTTTTTAATGAAATGGAATGAAAACGAAATGAAATATTCAAATTCTGCCCAACATCAAACTGTTTCGGAGCAGCTCCGGAGACGAAAGCAACACCAGAGAGATTAAGAACAGTGCACCTGTTCAAGGTGCGCACGTTGTGCTTCTGGACTGTAACTCCCAAAACGCCCCTAGGCAGAGCCCTTTGGGAGGATGCATGATGCGTTAATGGGGAACGTTCAAAAGTTTCATTTTACAACCATGTCATAACCCAACAGATTTCTTTTTTTAATGGCCACAAAATCATGAGAAGCAAAATCTTCTGGTGCAGGCCTGTGGAAAGTATGCAATTAACTGTTGCTGTTAAATTGCGGTGTGGAACACTTCCAGGGTTACCATACAGACGGAGCCTCCGTACGTCCTCTTAAGCACAAACCTACGTTTTACTGCAAAACGTGGGAAAAATTATCTTAAAAATTAAAAAAAAAGACATTAAAAGATTATGGGAGATACAGACCCAAAAAAGTAACTTTCCTAAGATTAGTCCTCTCTGTTGCTGGAATCGTACATAGGTCCTTCCTGCAACACAGAAATTCACTTTCTTTTTCAGCCGATGCCTCTGGACGGCTAGGAAAGACACTTTCGGAATTTGCTCCCTCCAAAGCTCATTCTTCCCGATTAGGGCCTAAACAGAGGCAAGCTCAAATGTGATGCTCAAATCATAAAGGAAAAAAAATTCCAAATAAATGCAAAGGTGCAAAAGTACGCATTTCGACTCCAGAAAAAAAACAACATACCTACACACCTCTGCTTTTGAGTGAGCTGTGAAGGACTCAGAGATCCCCAGAAGCCCAAATTCACTGAGGTGGTTTCAAGGAAACAATGCAAACGTTCAAGGAAACAATTATTCTTTTAGTCTCACCCCACTACAATCTTTTACCTACAGCATGGGTGCAATGATAATAGTCTACCTGACAAGGTCGTTGTACCGATTAAGCAGGCTATAACTTTTGAAACAGCAATTTATGGATTGCCACATACAATAGGTGTTAGATACTGTTCTTATGAATTCTAAACTGCCAGTCATTAAAAATAAAAACGGGAAATAGCAGAGACTCGTCTTACAAGCTTCGGCACGAAAGTTTTTGGCCACGTTATTAGCAAAAATTTGCTGGGCTAAACGTAACCCTCCGAAACTTCCCAGTTCCATCCATGGTTGGCTCACTGCTTGAGCTGCCAGTATTCGGCCAACCCCATGTGATCTGATGTCTACGGCCAGCGGATGATTTTCAGGACCTTACTGGCAAAGTTAATCATTAAACGGCTTGGAACAGAAGATGGGGGAGTCGTCTGAAGGAAGTTGTATGGCGGTTTGAACCTTGTGCCTGGAACAGCTCACCGAAGGATTTCGAGTGCCGCTTTTAAAACACAGCTAAAGACACACCCTGGAAAGGAAACCGTAGGTGGGAAAAAAAAAGGTGCGCTGGTCACGAAAACGTAACCTGTAGTCGGTGATCTTTTTTTATGTGGCCCACCGAAAAAAAAGCAGGCAAGCTTTTGAAATCACCAATGGCGTCATTAGGGGAAAACCAAGCAAGGGAGAGAGAGAGAAACTCAAGCCTTCTATTCTGCATGGCGTGACGTCTTCTCTTATTGAACACGCCAAGGATCCCAAAAGCTTGCACAGATCTTTCCATGCTCTTTCTGCACAGAGGTAATGCTCCGGCGTGGATTAACACAATAAGGTCAAATATGCTATAGCTGGGGCTGGATCGCAGGGTAAAAGGCAGCATCTCTACCTCAGAGACCATCCAGAAAGGAGCAGGGGATAAGACGCCGACAGGCCTGGCATCAGCAGCTACGCCATAACACACTCTTTGCAAAAATTAAAAAAAACCTCGGTAATAAATATGCTTGCGACCAGGGGCAGAAAACGCAAATTACAATATTACCTTCCTCTTCCTAGTGGTTATTTTATTTAAGTCTGTTTTTAGTGCAAAACTGCACATGCTCAGAGGCTTTCAAATAATTATTGGTGAACAGCTTTTTTTGTCTCTCACACTTTACTGATGTAAAGGGAGCTGTGAAGGATGGCAACGGGGAGAGGAAAAGACAAAAGTATAATTTGGATATTGTACAAAGGCGGAGTTTATCTAAAGTGCGCGCAAACACCTCAGCATGAGACCTAGGAGATAAAATCACCACAATTTACCAGGGGGTAGTGGTCAGAAACTGAGTACTGACAAAAAACTAAGGAAGCAAGCAAGGAAGGAAGGAGCTGTGGATAGATAAGAGAAACTGAAAGAAGGAGCTGATGATGGATAGGAAGGGAGGGAGGGAGGAAGGAAGGAAGGAAGGAAGGAGCGAGCTGATGATGGATAAAAAGAAGGAAGGAGCTGATGATGGATAAGAAGGAAAGATAGAAAGGATAAAAAGAAATAGGAAGGGAGGGAGGGAGGGAGGGAGGAAGGAAGGAAGGAAGGAAGGAGCGAGCTGATGATGGATAAAAAGGAGGAGCTGATGATGGACAGAAGGAAGGAAGAAAGAGAGGGAAGAGCTGATGATGGGCAGAAGGAAGGAAAGAAGGAAGGAAGGTTAACGACCCAATTTTTCCTGCATCTCATTGCCTGGGCACGTGGAAGGTCACTCGTCCAACCTGATTTAGAAAGTGCTTCCCAACCTGATATCCCCCAGATGTTCCCTGTACTACAACTCCCAGAAATCCTGGCCAGCACAGCTAGTGGTGAAGGCTTCTGGGAGTTTCAGTTCAAGAACATCTGGGGGCCCAAGGTGGGGAACCGCTGGTCGATGTTGGTTGTCCAACGGGTCTCTGCAGTCATATGACACGAGTGGCCTCCAGAAGTGTGGCCCTCTCCTCCCAGTTATGTGGGAACCACGGAAGGCCCTTGTGACAATGCCACGAATTCTGTGTTGGCTGGAAGCCACTATCCTCCCGGAGAGAGCGAGCGAGCGCAAGAGGGTAAAATTATTGCTGTGTCCTGTAAATCAATGGTCCCCAACCTTGAGCCTCCAGATGTTCTTGGACTTCAACTCCCAGAAATCCTGGCTAGCAGAGGTGGTGGTGAAGGCTTCTGGGAGTTGTAGTCCAAGAATATCTGGGGGGGGTGTCCCAAGGTTGGGGACCACTGCGCAAATAACCTGCGTTAGAACACAGTACCAATTCAGGCTTCACACAGCAGAAGATTCACCAAAGCTAAGAAGAAAACGCTACACAAGCATCGGTGACAACGGCCGACGGAAACAGGAAGGGATTATTTTGCCTTGGTACAACTTTGCAGCCCAAAATTTAAAGCCCAGATGGAAAACAGGCACATCTCAAGTGGCAAGGCCTGTATTCACTTAAGCATAGCACCACAAATCGACCTCCACAACAGGAATGCTCTTGTACGGCTCCCATTCACACCCAAGAAGCCTGCTTAGAACCGCAGGATTTTACGTCCCATGTCCTCGAGGCAGTTCCCCGAGAGTCCATCTGCCGACAACAGAACGGTTCAACACAGGGGATGAAATCACGGATTCTGGCAGCAGAGCCGAGCCGCTTCGCTTCTTTCTGCCAGGCGGGCCACTTGCAACCCTCAGAATTTGGGGGGCACGGAGATGCGGGGCCCTGTCGGCTGCTCTGCAGCACCGCTGTTGCAGGTAGCTGGGAAAAAAAATTGCAGCTGGCTTGTCAGATTCTAGGGGACATTGTCTAGAAATAGCAACTTCTCCAAGCACTCCTATTCTGGCTCTGAAAAAGGAGCTAACTTTGCTGTAATCATCAACCTGAGCAACCCATCGCTGAGAAACAGACCAAGGTTATCGCTTCACCTACCCAAATCTTTGGTTCGGAGGGGAACTTCTCAGACCACCGTCCTACAACCAGTTTCCAAGCCAAACTTTCTATGCTGGTTAACCTATTTATGCCCGCGCGCATAAATCTGATGAGGGTGAAGCCCACTATGTTAGCCTGGTGCAAGAATATCAGGCAAAAAAAGAAAGGAAAATAAATGAAATCAAAAAAGATAAATATTTTGTGGCACCTTAAAGGCTAGTTGTTATATTTTAAGGTAAGCTTTTGTGGAGCTGGCTTCACCGAAAGGAGATGCACATTCAAGCCGGTACCATTTTTGCATTTGCAAAACGGCGATTCGTTGACGAAGGGATCGGTCTGGGACATGGGCTTTTTCTCAATTGCAAAGAAACATCAGGGGCAGCTTATAGGTAAGGTCACGGGACAGCTTCACAGAACATTTAAATAAAACACACACACACACACACACAAAGACAAAACGTGAGCAGTCTCTTCCAAGATGGGATGAGAGCTGACAGCTGCCAAGGCTGGGTAGTCCTCAAAGAAAACCATGACATGTGGATTTGTGGCTTCCTCTCGGATCCATCTGGAGAAAAAAGAAACAGGCCAGGCCGACAATCTAGAGCGATCAATTGATGAATCCACAGGGTATTAATCTGTTAAATACCGTTGCATGGTACCCAAGCCTCAGTCCAAAAGGCACCTTCAAAATCTGGAAAGAAGTGAGGACTTGCAATTTGATCAAGGACTAAAATCCACCCTTTACGTTTCCGTTTTTTCATTTCCTGCT